ATTTCCCAACTTTAATGGAGAAGGTTTATGGAAGGTACTTTATAACATTGACATTTTTTACATATAATGTCTAAAAATAATTCCTAGAAAATACTTAGGGGCTCTATTTTTCTCAAAGACAATTTTAACTATTGCTACTTAAAGTAGGATGAGCAGAGAGAAACAGGACATGAAAACTTGATCACTATTTTAAATAAGAAAGGAAATTATTAAATAAAGGATGCCAATATGGGATCCAATATGTGCATGCAGCTCAATTTTTTTTTTCTTGAGGAAGGCAGAGTAAAGTTTTTATAAATGTTGTATTGATCTGAATAGAGAACTGATTTCTTTATTACCTTGGACACTTTTCATTTTCTAGGATCCACTGCATAAAATAATGCCATAAAAAGTGACACATTATCTCCACGGAGGCACATGATGGAGTAAAAAGCCTAGGTTTGTCATGAATTCTGTTTTGTTGTGTGTTTTTTTTAAAATATATTTTATTGATTTTTTACAGAGAGGAAGGAAGAGAGATAGAGAGCTAGAAACATCGATGAGAGAGAAACATGGATCAGCTGCCTCCTGCACACTCCCCACTGGGGATGTGCCCGCAACCAAGGTACATGCCCTTGACAGGAATCGAACCTGGGACCTTTCAGTCCGCAGGCCAACGCTCTATCCACTGAGCCAAACCGGTTACGGCTGTTATGTTGTTTTTTTCCAAGAGGCACCAAGGACAAATATCTTCATGATTTGTAATTTTTAATGTTGAAGAAAGGATGTGACCAACATGAAAAGTAAGGTTGCTATCAGGTCACATGTTAAAAAAGAAATCCTTCAAATTCTCTAAATTTTGAGTCTTAAAAAGCAATGAAAGTTAAAAAAAATATAAACAACTCCTATTCAGTTACTACATACCTCTTGCCCTCAAGAAAAAAGGCAAAAAAGAAATAGGCCTCAATAAAAAGCATCCCAACAATTCAAATAGCTTCACAGATCCACAAGAACTAGCATCTCTGCCACCTTAAACATCTCTGTTAAATTTCTTCAATTATACCTGAACACATTCTGACTGAGACAGGAAGTTATTTCTCTCCCAAACTACTTAGAGTGTCTCACTAAAAAGATTAACTTGCATCCAGACAGTGGTCTCAGTCATTAACATAAATAAGCACCTGAGCTGTATGTGGTAAAAATGCAATGCCAAGGGTTCTATCCCCTTGAAGGTCTGATTCAGTAGGTCTGGGATGCCAGTCCCTGCAAAGTACATTTTGAATAAGCATACCAGGCAGCTTCTGATATCGGTGATCCTCTTCTCACCACCAGAAAAAAACAGTGCAGAAGGCTCACCTGCCTCACCTTCCATAAGGACCAAGCTGGAGATAATATTTCTGACATAACAGCTTAGATTCCCATCTGGAAAACCCAGAGACAAAGGACCTCTTTACTAACTGTGCTCCACTATCTCACCAGACACTCAAAGACTTGTCACAGTTTATTCTTTTTCACAAGGACAATACACAAGACAGCAAAAACGATGCTATATCCCCAATCAAGACCCAAAACTAGATGGAGCAGCCCAAGGCATCTGTTAGAAGAGCCCAGAGTATATTAGTTTTGTTCTGAGAATTCTTTTTTTTTTTTTTTAATTGATTTTAGAGAGGAAGGGAGAGAGGGAGGTGAAGGGAGAGAGATTGAGAGAGAGAAAAACATCTATTTGTTGCTCCATTTATAGCCATGTGTTCACTGGTTGATGCCTGAATGTGTCTGGGGATTGAACCCGAAACCTTAGCATATGGGAACAAGGTGCTAACCAACTGAACAATCAAGAAATGGCGCTCTGAGGATTCTTAAAGAACTCCAAACCAGGCTGACTTTGAACTTCTACTAATAGTTTCTGGTGAAAACTTCTGGCGGGCAGAGATCTTTCTCTGATTCTCTGACAGCCTGGGACAGTGCTGAACAGATAGACTGAAGGCATTGGTGCCTCTCTTAGGATGTGCAGGGAAAGAGAATTCTGATCTGGTTCCCATCTGATAAGAGAATGTCAGTGAGTGCCTGAAGAGGAGGAAGCTTTAGGTATTGCCTGTCTGGCATGGCTCAGTGGTTGAGCATAGACCTATGAACCAGGACGTGACTGTTAGATTCCCGGTCAGGGCATATGCCTGGGTTTCAGATTCAATCCCCAGGAGGGACACCGACTGAAAGCAACTGATTGATGCTTCTCTCTCATCTCTCTCCGCCGCCCTTCTGCATGTCCTCAGGTGATGATAAAAAATAAAAATAATGGCCCAGATGGTTTGGCTCCCTGTTTAAGCATTGACCTATGAACCAGGAGGTCACAGATCAATTCCTGTCAGGCAGGGGCCCAGGTTGCCAGCTTGATCTCCAGTGTGGGGCGTGCAGGAGGTCGCCTATCCATCGATGATTCTCTCTCATCATTGATGTTTCTATCTCTCTCTCCCTCTCCTGTCCTCTCCGAAATCAATAAAATATATTTTTTAAATGTATTAGGTATTACTTGCACATTTCATGCTAATTTCTTTTTACAAATAGATAGTTGGGTTTAAAATTGCAATCCCCTCCAACTCCAATTCCTACTTCAGAAAAGTTCTGTGTGGATCTGCCTACCACAAAAGGAAGATCTCCACACATTTCATTTGTCAGATTCTGTGGGAAATCACTAAGGACAGAATAATTGGGATAATTTGCTTAGTTTATTCATCATCAGAACAGATACCTTAGGAGTGCTTTCCCAAGGAAGCCCTGAATAATCTTTCTAATTGGTTTATCAATTTTCTCTAAACCAGTCAAACATAAATTGTAGCAACATGAAAAATGGCCATAAAACATTCTCATTTTGCAATATGAAAACTTTAAAGACTAATAGATTAAGTTGGTAAAATGGAAAGAGTATATGCCTTGTTGTCATGCAGGTCTGGGTCCAAGTTCCAACTCTACCACATACAAGTTGCATAAATCTCGCTAAGTTACTTCTTCAATCTTCCCTTTCTTCATATGTAAAATGGGGAAAATGATACCAACTTCAACATAATTTGAAAATTTGACAATGTAAATAAAACACCTAATTAAGATGGTCAGTTTACCCTAAGCACTATGCAAATGGTAGCTGATGCTATTATTTACAGTATCTACATTTCTACATTGGAAAATAGCAAAAAAAGAAAAAAGGGTTCTAATTCTTCTAAGCGTTAGTCTAAAATTATCAACTGGCCCGGCCAGCATGACTCAGTGGTTGACCTTCGATTTATGAACCAGGAGGTCACGGTTAGATTCCTGGTCAGGGTACATGCCTGGGTTGCAGGCTCCATCCCCAGTGTGGGGTGTGTAGGAGGCAACCAATCCATGATTCTCTCTCATCATTGAAGTTTCTATCTCTCTCTTCCTCTCCCTTTCTGAAATCAATAAACTACATATTTCTTAAAAAACAAAATTATAACCAAATTTTACGGTCATGAATATTTTTTCCCCTGGCTGGCATGGCTCAATGGTTGAACATCCGTCTATGAACCAGGAGGTAACGGTTCTATTCCCGGTCAGGGCACATGCCTGGGTTGCTGGCTCGATCTCCAGTGTGGGGTGTACAGGAGATAGTCAATAAAACATATTTTTTTAAAAAAAAGAATATATATTTTTTATATCTTTACAAATTTCAGGAGCCTTTCAGTGAGAATATTTTCAACTTACTTTTCAATTCTTATCCCAAAACAATTCTGATAGTTCTCCAGAGGCCTTTTCAAAACAGCCCTCTTTTCTTCAACATATCTCCTGCCCCTCCTCTTAAAGTCTTCCTATTTCATGCTCTAATATTTTAGTCCTGAGATCTCTGGCCTAATACAAAGGACCTGCACCAAATCATTTATACAAAAGCTTTATTTGCAATGCTTATACCAACATTCTTACAAATACTTGATCCTTACAATAGCCCAAGTAGATATACAAGGTCTAAGTTACATCTAGATTTTACAGTTACGACCAAAGATACATCGCTAGAAAACAGCATAGCCAAGCCTATAACTCAAATTTTCAGATTCCAAGTTCAGCACTTTTGCGGACTCAACTTATAAAGCTACTACTCCTTGCATGTTTTCTTCATATCATTTATTCACAAAACATTGGCGGGGGGGGGGGGGGAACCCTCTTTGTATCTCCTGGTATCACTACAGTACTGCTACAAAGGACAGCTTCCTCCCTGCAGTATTTTCAAACAATCCCAACCATTAAAACCAAAAGTTGCTTTCAATAGTTCCTGCACAATCTTCAAGTAAGAAAGAACTCTAGGATGCTTCATGAAAACGGCCAAGAGGCCCCGGCCGCAGTCCCTCCACACCGCCCTATATTTCTCCACCTCTGCCCTCTTTCCTCCTCCTGAGTTTTTTTCAATCTGACATCTCATCAGGGGCCCTCTCAACCCGAACGACCATAGTTGCCAAATACTAGATTCGTGCGCGCAGCTAAGTCTTCCTCGCCAAGCACCGCGGAGGTTCTCTGGAACATTTAGGGTGTCGCCCCTTTTCTCCGTCCACACCCCTGTCTGAAAAACTTCACCCGCACCTTCTTCGCCACCCCACCCCCAAAGCCCCACGCTCACCCCTTGCACCTCCTCCAAAACCTCCAGCCTCCTGGGTTGGCGGGCGATACTTCCTATCTCTCCTGGCCCAGATCGCCTGGCCTGCAGCCTGCCGCCCCGATCTGGACCCAGCAGATCACGGACCCCTCCGGTCCCCCGAACCCGAGGCCCACCAGCCCGATCCCTGCCCCGCCTCCCCGCCCAAGGCGCCAAGTACTCGGGGCTCCTTCTCCAGGCCCCGGCCGGACTCCGAGGGCCCCAGGAGCTGCGGGGAGAATAGGAAGGAGGCGGCAGCAGCGGTCAGGGCACGGGGCTGGCCGGGCGCTAGGGACGGGTGACCCCGGGCCCGGCCGGCTCCCAGCTCCCGTGGCACGGACTCAGCCCGCCCGCTCCGCCGGCCCGCGCCTTCGCGGCCTGCCCTCACCTGATCCAGGTTCTCGTCGCTGCCGCTGTCCTCCGTGTCCGAGTCGATCACCACGCGGCCTTTCCGCTTCTTTACCATGGTGGTTCCCCGGCTCCCACGCCGGACGCCGCCCGGACTCCCCTCTAGCCCGTCTGCCAGTGGGACAGCCACTGCCACTGCCACCGCCGCCGCTGCCGCTGCTCGACCCACACAAAGGCGACCGCGCATGCGCGCTCCGCTCCGCCCCTGGCCCCGCCCCCCGCTCGGCGCACGCCGTTCGCCGGCTCTCGGCGCCCCTCCCTGCCCCGCCCCCGACGTAGCGTGAGAGGCGGGGCCCAGCACCCGGCGTGGTTCCCGGCAGTGGATCACTTTCCTCCACCCTGCGCGGGGTCTTGGAAGTCCTGGGTGTGTTTCCGCTGCGGGCTCAAGCTTGATGGGCTGCCTACCTGTCGTGGACTGGAGCCGCCAAGCATCTGGGCCCTCTCTGAGGAGCCTTTCAACTGTCCGACACTGATGAAGTGGCGAGGGCGACGTCAAGGGCTGCCCTTCGGGGAGGCACGCGTCTCCCGGACTCTGCCGAGGGCACCCGTTGGGGAATGAAGCTTTCCTGCCTAGGCTGTGCAAGTGACAGCTGAGCTGGGACCTGGAGGATGCATCTGAGTTACCCACAACAACCGTAGAGGGAAGGGTGTGCTTAGCAGAGAACCGCGTGGGCAAAAGCCGTGATAATAGAAAAAGCTGGGTTCAGGGAACTGAAAGTGTATTATGGCCGAGCAGGTGGCAGGGAGTGTGGGAATAAGGCGGAGGAAGGACACAGCGGCCACGTGCAGAGTCTGATAAGCTGTATTAGTAAGTATTGGAAGATTTAAACAGAAGAATGACGTTATTCGATTTGTGTTTTAAAAAGATTACTCTGCTTCCCCAGTGTGGTGAGTGCGCTAGAAGGCAGGGAGAACATATAGGCTGTTGGTATCATTTTAGCAAGGGATGATGGTGTCCTAAACGAAGGAAAGAGCAGTAGAAATGGACGGATAATTTGGAAGTCGGAATTACCAGGTCTTGGAGATTAGCTGGGAAAGGAGTAAAGTGAGGTCGCAGACATAAATGACATGCAGGCTCTGGCATAGGAAGCTGGTGGTCCGTGTGCCCATCATCAAGATAAGCAACACATGTGGGAGGAGGTTTCAGAAACTGGTGTTAATGGGAAATAAGTTCAGTTTCATGCCTGTTGAGTTTGAGGTCAGCTGATTAAAAGGGCAGCTCCAGAAGTCCTTTCTTTGTGGGATTTGGCATATAGAGTAGGGAGCATAAACAATAACAAACAACTTGACATCTTCTGAAAACTTTTTGGAGTCCATTAATTCATTATTCTGGTAGTGAACTTGGGAATCAGACCACAGATTTCCCTAGCTGCCGGAGGCTGGTCCATCCTTGTTGCTTGACACAGTCGCTGCAGGGAAGAAACATCTGCACAGCTTATGTTTCAAGGTACCTGGCATATACGGCATACTGTTCTTAATACGTTTGCTCCCCCTTTTTTTAGCAGTATGTGTTACAACCAGGACCACCTCCCTGAGAAAGGTTGTTTCCCCAGGTGGGGATTTTTCCCTGGAGTTAGGGATTAACAGGACTAAGGAAGAGAATAAATCAGTAAAACCCCCCCGTGTTACAGAAATACCATGTACTGCTTATGAAGAACTTGGACTAAGACTGTTGGCAATAAATTTGGGACTTGTTGGGCCACATCCCCAGAGGTCTGCCTACCAGGGAAAGCACCAAAGCCTATACCCCTGGAGACCCACTGACACAGGGCAGTCCCAGGAAAGGCAAGCAGCGTGGCTGGGAGGACATAACCTTTACTGGGTAGGAGATTCTCCTTCAGTCACTTCCTTGTAGCTTATCAGTAGAGCAGTAGAATAGTGACCTTGGAATAGTCCTTATAATGGAACACAGAGATTAACCTAGACAAAATCAACAGAACTAGATAGAGACAGGATTTTTGGCAAAGGTCAGATGAGAAACTATGGAAATGAAACAAGAAACTGTAGAAGGTTACCCAAAACATACCATGATGTGATTATAGAGGCATGCTTATAGGATCAAATGGTATAAATACAGATGTAACAGGACAATAAAGAGAGAACCTGGCTATGCTGATCAACTGAATGCTGTCTCTGTGTCCTGCATTCCTTCTTCGCCGACTCCGTCCACACCTTTGGGAACCCCTGGACCTGCTGGGGCTGGACCCCAACATTTGGACCCCAACATTTGGCGTCTCGAACACCTAGGCATTACTGGGCAGAGGCAGGCTGATGAATTCTTGGTCTTTGGCCCCCTTTTCTGTCTAAATTTTATTTTCTCCAGCAGGTTTGCAGTACATATCACAAATGTACCTACCTTAAAAATAGTAATAAAAAAATATGTCATACATAGAGACATCCCTGGAACTAGATGTCCAATTTGCTACCAGTTAGCTTAAAAAGGTGTTCAGGATTCAGGTAGAAAAAAACAATAAGGCTCAGCTACCGCTTTTTTCCAAAGGAGTTGTACTAAGATGTAACCCCTAGACTTCCTACCCCCAGCATATCCTTGGAACTGCGACCATGGACAAGATGACCCAAAATGACCAGGCCAGCTTCTCCATTTCTAGCCAGCCTGAAGCCTGGTGCCCTTCTGTGAGGTGGAATTCTCCTTTTAGTGGCCCAACCATATCTTTTGTTTTTTTTAATCACCCGAGGATATTTTTCCATTGATTTTTAGAGAGAGTGGAGGAAAGAGGGAAAGACAGAAATATCTATGTGAGAGAAGCACATCAATTGGTTGCCTCCAGCATGTGCCCTGACCAGGGCCCAGCTGGGACCAGGGAGGAGCCTGCAACCCAGGTATGTGGCCTTGAGGCAATTGAACCTGGGACCCTTCAGTCTATCCACTGAGACAAACCGGCTAGGGCCCAACCATCTCTTAATGTGTTCAGGGTCTAAAAACTTGCTCAGATCCGAAATTTGGCCAAGGATGGTCACTTTTTATTGGGACAACTGCCCTCAGCCCTCTTATCACCCTTCTGATTGAAAGCTTAGGAGTACCCTTGTTGGCTTCCCATCTATTTTGACAATGGGGATGTTTATTGTGTTCTGTTAGCCATTTCCATAATTCTCTGAGGGTCAGGCCTTCTTGGCTATAACTCTGACCTTTCTGCTCATAATTGCATCTACCTGGCTTCTGGCAGTTAAGTGCTGCCACCTGGCCTCTTGTTTCAAAATCCTATCACCCCATTGTTACTGCCTGAGTTTTATAACAGCCTCACCTACTGCTGTATAGGTGAAGTACCATTAAACTTATAGCAGTGGTTTTCAACCTTGGCTGCACATTAGAATCACCTGGGAATCTTTTTAAAACCCTGATTTCTGGGCCTCATCCTCTGGAAATTCTGTTTCTTTGTTACTAATGTTGTAGCCCCACCCCATAACAATGAAATAGAATTTCCGGAGGATGAGGCCCAGAAGTCAGGATTTTAAAAAGATTCCCAGGTGATTCTAATGTGCGGCCAAGGTTGAGAACCACTGACTTATAGTGATACTGGTGCACCTGTTATTATCACATTCCTTATGGCCTTGGTAAACGGAGTATCCTTTTTGTCTTCCCATGGAACATAATCATTTGGTGGGATTTCTGACCTTAGATAGTACATCCAGTTTGTTGTGCTTACTTTTCAGCTTTTTGGGTTTTTTTTTTAAGATATATTTTTATTGATTTCAGAGAGTAAGGGAGAGGTAGAAAGAGACACATCAATGATGAGAGAGAACCAGTGAGCGGCTGCCTCCTGCATGCCCCCTACTGGGGATGGAGCCTGCAACCCGGGCATATGCCCTGACTAGGAATCAAACCAGGAACTCCTGGTTCATAGGTCGATGCTCAACCACTGAGCACACCAGCAGGACATGATCCTTTGTTTTGAAGCTCATGTGGACTATACAGTTTTCCATGCTTCTCAGAGCCACTCTAGTAGTAAATTTACACCATTTCCCGAGGTCCTTGCCAAAGTGATAAGTCCTGTATCTCAGGAGAATGCTTCCAAATCAGTAAACTCTCCCTAATCCAATTTTACCTTCTGGTCCCCTTGATCAAGCACCCTCAGAATCCAGTGTCTTGCTCTTCTCCCAACTGTTGCCATTACATGCTTAGCTAGTTCTTGCAACTCCTTAGTGGTATAGTCCCTTTTCTCCCTCATCTGGTCCAGTATGTCCCCCACTGGGTTAAGTAGTGTTTTAATCCTAGTAATTGGCCTGTGTCCAGGAGGACGGTAAGGGCATATGTTGAGGAGGGCACAGGCAGCCTTACAGGGTACAGGCCTCTTCACTGTCTGGTAGCAAGAGGAAATTTCTAGATGTTGAGGCTTTTCTTCAGGTTTTGAGGATTCAGGAAAGTAAGAATTCAAGATCTTCAGTGGCATCAATCAGATAGCCCCATCCCAAATGTCATGGTCGCATTACTAGGGCCTTGGTCTTGGCTTAGCTGACCTGCCTGGCTTGGGAGTATAATCTTACTAGAGTTCAGACTACTCTGATGATTATCCTGGGCCTCAGCTTTTCCTGCCTCCCACTGTGGGTGTTGAACCCCTCTTCATATGCTATTAAGGGGACCCTCTGGCTTTCATACTTGACTTTCAGTAACAGTGGACGAATTCCATATTATAGTTACTACTAGAGGCCTGATGCATGAATTCATGCACAAATGGGGTCCCTTGGAGTGGCCTGTGGAGATTGGGCCCCAGCTCGTGCCCCAGCTTCACAGCCCCACAGCCCCGCCTGGTACCCCACCTTAGCCTGGCATTACTCCCTCACCTGCTCCATCATCTGGCCTGAGGGGTGATAGATCAGGGCCAGGGCCCCACCCCCTCAGTGCCTGGGAGCCGGGTGGCAGCACTGCCCCCTCACCCCCTCCGCCACCACTGGTCACTGTCTGCAGGGCTATCAGCATGGCAATCGGGCCCCCTCTCACACCTGCCTTGGCCTGGTGCTGCCTGCTCACCTCCTCCACCTTCCCACAGTGGTCCCGCTCTTGTAGGGTCCATCAGGGCCAGCAGTGCCTCCACTGCCCATGGCTGTCAGCACCTCCAACACCTGCCATGTTCTGCGCTGCCTCCTGGTGGTCAGCGCCTAGCAAGTGGTTGAACTCCTGGGAGGGGAAAATTTGCATATTAGGCTTTTATTATATAGAACTAGAGGCCCGGTGCACAAAAATTT